TCAGAATACTACACGTACTTATACTGTATGTGAACTATTCTATACTGAAACATTTACAATTTTGCTTAGCAGCTTAATAGCCAGTAGAGTGGCACCAATGACTGCCAATCCAAAATGGATTTTGTTGTTACTGGCTTTATTTATCTAGCTTGTAACAATTATGTTCTATTTATAACTGTCTAGTGTGTGGGGGGGCGTGTTTGCCTTATGAGAACTAAAGAAACAGTGAAATGTTGTATCTATTTGAACATTCCATAGATAAAGCTGAACACCGAGATGCAAGTTATTTATACAAGAACTTCTGTTATGTACATATGATAAAACTGCCCAGTTTCTTAGAAACATAGCTTTTAAGATGCTGTGACATCACAGCTTCTATAGAGAAAATGCTGTTACAGCCGGGCATCTGATAAAGATATCAAACAAGCAAATACATCATGTCAGCTCACTGCGATGACAATTATTATTACCGTGTATACTCAAGTATAAGCCGTCCCGAATATAAGCCGAGGTACCTAATTTTACCACAAAAAAATTGGGAAAAAACATTGACTCGAATATAAGCCGAGGGTGGGAAATGAGGCAGCTACTGGTAAATGTATTATTATTGGCATTTCTAGAACGCCAACAATTGATGCAGCGCTTTACATACTGAACATTCACATCAGTCCCTGCCCTCAAGGAGCTTACAATCTAAGGTCCCTATCTCTCATGCATGCATACGACTTAAGCTGGCCATACACCTATAGAGTATCTGCTGATTTTCTATGGTCAGATGGAAAAAGTGCAACAGATTCCTCCATCTACGCTAAACTGTGTGGATGGAGGAATCTTCCGCTGGGCCAAGCTTCAGTATTTTGCTAGTTAGCACCGCTGGCTATCAAAATACCTCAACAATGCCCGCATTAAATCGTATTGTTCAGGCATTTTGAGTAGGGATGCATTGAAATTTGAGCTGCCGAAACATCAGCCATCTTTCGGACAAAATTGTGGTGCATCCCTGGTCTCTCTGCTCCCTGCTGTGCACTGCTCTGTCTCCTCTGGCACAGCTTCCAGCAGGGAGGAGAGAAACTGTCAGGAGCGGTGAGGGGGAGGAGAGCGCTGTGAACATGTCAGAGGAGGCTGAGCTCTCCTCCAGTGCCACGCTCAGCCTCCTGTGACATCAGGAGAGCGGTGTGGGGGCGGAGACAGCTGTGAGCGCTCAACATCACAGGATGTTGAGCCGGCAGGGGGAGGACTCAGCTGTCAAATGAGACCGAGCTCTTCTCCCCGCACCGCCTGCTCAGCCTCCTGTGACAGTGAGTCAGGATAGAGAACAGGTACAAGCAGTCAGCGATCAGTTATCGCTGAATGTTTGTAAATAACTGGATGAGTTACTATGTACCAGTTATGAATGAATGGGAAGTGATCTATATCACTTCCTGTTCATTCATGATTGTGGACATGGTAAACATACTAGCTACACAATTTATGTAAGAACAGGAACACTCAGTATAGAGGCTTCCTGTTCATTCATAATAGGCTGCAGAAAAAGAGATTTAGGACTCTCTGTCCTCACTCTTTTTCTATTGTAAAAAAAATATAATAAAATATTAACAAGTTTAGAAAAAATAAAACGTTTAGAAAAAACTTTAAAAGCTTTAGAAAAAATAAATTTCGGTTTTGGGGGTGACTTTTTTATTTTCGGTCTCAAAATTTAATTTTGGTGCACCTCTAATTTTGAGAGCCAGCGGGGCCAACTAGCAAGATACTGAAGCTTAGCCTAGTAGGAGATTCCTCCATCCAATTAGTTTAGCATAGATGGAGGAATCTGTTGCACTTTTACCATCTGACCACAGAACATCTGCATATAATCGATATGTGTATATGTCCAGCTTTAGAGAAACTACAATTCCCATCAATGGAATTTGTAGTTGTGAATAGGCGTTAATGTAGCCCGTGTCGATGGATGTGAAGTACCGGCAGTCGGTGCAAAGTTAGTGGGCAAGTTAGACTGAGGATATAGATATGCACTATATTGCCAAACTATTGGGACGCCTGCCTTTACACACACATCAACTTTAATAGCATCCCAGTCTTAGTCCTTAGGGTTCAATATTGAGTTGGCCCACCCTTTGCAGCTATAACAGCTTCAATTCTTCTGGGAAGGCGTCCACAAGGTTTAGGAGTGTGGCTATGGGAATGTTTGACCATTCTTCCAGAAGCGCATTTGTGAGGTCAGGTACTGATGTTGGACGAGAAGGCCTGGCTCGCAGTCTCCGCTCTAATTCATCCCAAAGGTGTTCTATCGGGTTGAGGTCAGAACTCTCTGCAGGCCAGTCAAGTTCCTCCACCCCAAACTCGCTCATCCATGTCTTTATGGACCTTGCTTTGTGCACTGGTGCGCAGTCATGTTGGAACAGGAAGAGGCCATCCCCAAACGGTTCCCACAAAGTTGGGAGCATGAAATTGTCCAAAATGTCTTGGTATGCTGATGCCTTAAGAGTTCCCTTCACTTTATCTAAGGGGCCAAGCCCAATCCCTGAAAAACAACCCCACACCATAAGCCCCCCTCCACCAAACTTTACACTCGGCACAATGCAGTCAGGCAAGTACCGTTCTCTTGGCAACCGCCAAACCCAGACTCGTCCATCGGATTGCCAAACAGAGAAGCGTGATTTGTCACTCCAGAGAACACGTCTCCACTTCTCTAGAGTCCAGTGGGGATGTGCTTTACACCACTGCATTGCACTTGGTGATGTAAGGCTTGAATGCAGCTGCTCAGCCATGGAAACCCATTCCATGAAGCTCCTTACGCACTGTTGTGCCAATCTGAAGGCCACATGAAGTTTGGAGGTCCGTAGATATCGACCCTGCAGACTTCTGTGCACTGTGCTTCAGCATGCGCTGATCCCGCTCTGTCATTTTACGTGACCTACCACTTCGTGGCTGAGTTGCTGTTTTTCCCAATTGCTTCCACTTTGTTATAATATCACTAACAGTTGACCGTGGAATATTTAGTAGCAAGGAAATTTCACAGATGGACTATCACGATACGAAGCTTGAATTCATTGAGCTCCTGAGAGCGACCCATTCTTCCACAAATGTTTGTAGAAGCGTCTGCATGCCTAGGTGCTCGATTTTATACACCTGTGGCCATGGAGGTGAACACCTGAATCCAGTGATTTGGAGGGGTGGCCCAAAACGTTTAGCAATATAGTGTATATATAACAATCAGCCATAACATAATGGGCACTTGGGGATACAGTCTCCATGAAGGGACGCCAGGAACAATGTTTAGGTAGGTGGTATATGTCAAAGTAACATCCAAATAAATAGCAGGACACAAGGTTTCCCAGCAGAACATTGCCCAAAGCATCACACTGCCTCCGCCGGCTTGCCTTCTTCTCATAGTGCATCCTGATGCCATCTCTTCCCCAGATAAGCGACACACACGCACCCAGCCATCCACATAATGTAAAAGAAAATGTGATTCATCAGAACAGGCCACCTTCTCCCATTGCTCTGTGGTCCAGTTCTGATGCTCACGTGCCTATTGTAGGTGCTTTTGGTGATGAACATGGGCCAGCATGGACACCATAACTGGTCTGTGGCTATGCACCCCCATACGTAACAAACTGCGATGCACTGTGTGTTCAGACACCTTTCCATCGGAAACCAGCATTAACGTTTTCAGTAATTTGAGCTACAGTAGCTCTTCTATTGGATCAGACTACATGGGCCAGACTTTGCCCCCCATGTGCATCAATGAGCTTCGGCCGCCCATAACCCTGTCGCTGGTTCACCAATTTTCCTCCTTTGGACGACTTTTGGTAAGTTCTGACCACTTGTCAAAATCGCTCAAATCCTGACACTTGTCCATTTCTTCTGCTTTCAACACATCACCTACAGGGACAATATGTTCACTTGCTGCCTAAAGGTGGCCATGCACCTTACAACCATTGTACAACTTTTGTTGTCCAGACATCTCACCCTCGTTCAGTTTTCTTACAACTAGCCCATCATGCACAGACCAATGTAGTTCGCAATTAACGTTTGTCAGCACCACCACCTAGCTGATTTTCATCAATCTAAAGGACAGGTTTTCATTTGAGCAAGTGCAGTGTTTATCTTGAGATTTTTGTTGTACAACAACGCCACTAACCCGTCAATTTTCGTCCAACCAGACAAACGCTTTCTAGTCTGCTTGAAAGACAGAAATCTGCCAGTTGTACAGTAATTGAGGTTGTGCACTTCCCATCAACAGGCAAATTTATTGACAAAAACGCAATCGCAGACAAAAATCTCCAGATAATTGTAAGGTGCATGGGCACCTTTAGAGATCTCACCCACTTCCAGGTGCCATTTTAAAGAGATAATCAATGCTATTCACTTCACCTCTCAGGGTCATAATGTTATGGCTGATCGATCGGTGTGTGTGTGAATATAGATATACGAGCACCACACAACCTGGCCTTAGCATTGTTGGCCTCCATGGTGGTCTGTATAATAGTGTGGGGAGCTCTGGCAGTGGTGTATGGGAATGAGGAGAGTAAGGAAGCAGAAGTTGTGTTCTATAAAGAGACCCTGTCATTAAGTCCGCCATAGGTGAAGTACAGGTACTCTTCTATCAGTCTGCATTCTTCACAGACAATGTTTGGCAGCACTCTCCTAGGAAGGGAGATCTCCACTGGAAGTGTTATGTTTACGTACTATCGATAACAACATATCTCTAGTTGTGTAACTCCAGTATATAGTCAGCTGACACACTGCTTTCTCCTCTCCTCCTAGTCACTGCCCTATGTCACCCTTCGCCCACTATTGTTTTTCTTGTCTGTACAGTGTGATGTCCTGTGACTGGGAGATTCCATTGTACGGGGGTGATCGGAGCTGTAGAGAACACTGGCATATACCACTGCTGTCCTGTCCCCCCTCGGTGTGGAGTGGTCGGCTCCGGGACTCGTCATGTGACAGCGGTGCCCGATGAAGTTACGAGTCCGAGGGACTGATAGAACGCCGGTGTTCGGGCAGCAGGCGGTTTAGGATCAGGAAAAGAAGATGCGGGGATCGGTTGTGTGTGTTATGTTGGTGGTGTGCGGGTCGGTGCTGGCTCAGGATGTTCCCCCGGTGAGTAAGGCCGGCTACACAGCAGCGTGCCGGTATAGGAGTGTGATATAACAGGCAGGTGCCGCACAAGTCTCAGCGGGTCATGTCACACAGTCTGCGAGCTGAACTTCCATAGGACCGGGGATCGGTTCTATAAGGGAGCAGTGATATGAGGGATCTGTCAGTGCTGTCCGGTGATATACTGTCATTGCTGTCTGGTGATATACTGTCAGTGATGTGCAGGCTGAGCTGGCAGGGACAGTTGCTCTGTAGGATTCTCCGTGTTGTAATCTCAGCACCGTCTTCATGACATTTACAAAGAACTTTGTAATAAATGTCCCCCATTCACACCCGAGGGATTGTTCCACATTTCTTAAACGGCCAACAACACTCAGCATGAAGGTGCCCAATATAGTCAATGGTGGCCATTCTTATCTGAGTGTTATGCTGCCACTTATTGCACAAAAAATTGGGAGCTCTGATAGTGCAGGACACCACACAGAGACAACAGGAAGCAGGTACAAGGAAGAGGACAAATTATGTCGCATGTTACCGCCTTCTGTTGGCTAAAAGAAAATGCCTGAAGCTTGGAAATATATGAAAAACGTGATCACATGCAAAAACTGCTTCACATGCACCTTTCAACGCTCAAGTGTGAATGGGGTGTGTTAGTGATAATGAGAACTTTATACTGAACTCCAGCAGTGCCGGAGGATAAAGCGATAGTCGGCTGATGACATTTGAATATTTGGAAATAGACTGCACCATTGAATCTTGTACACACATTTCTTTGTTGTGACATGGGGCAGCTATATAGGTGCCATCTGCTAGTCCGCCAGAAGTGATGAAGAGGCAGTACTACCTTCCTTAACCCCTGCTCTTGCGCTCTCCTCTTTTCCCTAGCGCTCTGAGCTGTGGGTGCTCCCTATGCACCATTACGCACAATGCAAGGCTGCGAGCTTGTATGTGGAGGAGGCAGTTGTGCAACTGCAGCTGGGATCACCATAGCGAGGAAGCTTTGTGGCACCGGTCACATGGATGCATGGAGCCTTCCAGAGTGAGAATTAAGGTATTACACCTAGGCAAAAACAAGAATTCAACCTCTCATTTGGGCCCCCCTGCACTGCAAGGGTTAAATGCTTGTTTTTGTTTAAATGTAATACCCTTATTCTCTCTCCAGAAGGTTCCATCTGTGTGATCGGTCCTACAATGCCGCCGCACTATGGCACTTTTTAGCTGCTGTACAGGCTCTACATCTGATGTACTGAGTGACTTCCCCGCTGCTGTGAAAACACAGGGGGTCACTTTCCCAGCACAGCAGCCATTCAGAGAAGACCTCATATTTTTATCAATGAATATTAGGCGTTCTCTGATTGGACAAGGGGTGGTGGCATCACCACCCCTCGTCCAATCAGAGAACACTTACAGGGTTATTCACAAAAGGGTGAAGAGTTTGGAGAAGGCAGGAGAAGTGAACAATCTAGGATAACATAGCTGATTGGGAAAACATCTCCAATTCAGCTCACTTTCCAGTACAGCTTTGTTGTCCTAGATTGTTCACTTCTCCTGCCTTCTCCAAACTCTTCATCCTTTTGTGAATAACCCTGTAAGTGTTCTCTGCTAGTGACCCCTTGTGCTTTCACAGCAGATGTACAGGACCTGGAATATGATGGCCAGCACCGCAGAAGCTCTAGCTAGGACAGTGTTTTACAGGAACCCTGTGGCCCTACCAGCTGTAAAATATGTATAGTTACATGGGGCCAAACTTGGGGCCTATTCACACCAGATTCATTGGACTGTGCTGGGCACCCTTGCCCAATACAGTCTCATTGTATAGACAAGGTAATTTGCCTTGTGTCCTACCATGTCAGCTGACAACACTGCGCTGTGCACTGACAAAAAGTAGAACATGAGCTCTCACAGGCAGGACCCTCCTCACCATCTTGTCATGATTTGTATTGTAACTGTAATGTCTTCCTGCTGTGCAAACTGTCAGTACTATATAAATATTTTGTATAATATTAATAGTAGTAACATGCAGCACTTTTGTTCAGCACATGTTGCAGCAACACTACACATTATCACGACGTGCTGTGACATTTCACACTTTGTGATAATTCAATATAGATAAATAGTAATTTCCTTCACAGTTCACACCAATGGCCGCAAGGTAGAAGATGCTGCAGGTGTGAGTGGGCCCTACATGGCTGGGTTTGTGAAAGATTTACACTATCCAGCTTTCCATATCAGTTCTGTTCTGGGTAAAGTTTACACAGCGACACTAATGGCATTGTGCATGCTTTGTTTCAGTACACCGAGGATTGCAGAAGTGGGACTTACCCCCCTTCAGGACCTACGTAAGTTACAAAGCTTTTTTCCATTAGTTCCTTCTTGGTGTTTTGTTTTTTAATAGTAATAATTGTTGTTTTTAGTCATTGCTGAACTTCTTCCCCCTGGTTTGTAAGATAACAGAGGCTTAGGGCTAGTTCACACCAAGCGCGGAGCAGGTCCAGTGCAGAGCAGGTGCAGACCGGATCAAAACTGCGTCCAATGTATTCCTATGGTATTTTTAGCTCCAGTTCACATCGCAGCGTGCAGATCCAGAGCAGGTAAAAAAACTGCAGCAGGCCCTATTTTACCTGCTCTGGATCTGCAAACGCATCAAAAATGCATGCAAATGCCTGGAACGTACTGAAAGCCCATGTTAAACTAAAGAAACAATTAAACATTTTTTTTTTTTTTTAGCCAAAAAAGCGTCAAACGCATCTAAAAGACTAGCGTGCGTGTGCAGAAACCTGACCGGATCTGCTCTGCATTTGGTGTGAACAAGGCCTTGTGGCAGAGAAACATTCACAAAGCAGTCCCTATAGAATAAAGAGGCTTCTGAGATCACAATGGTATCAAACTGTCTGTGTCCCCCATAACAGCAGCCAGTCCAATCCAAGCTTTCATTCTGCAGCTTCTGTTTCTGAATCTAGCTCATTGTTATGAGGTAACACAGACAGTGCGAGACATCTACTCCCTCAGATATGTTCATAAATCAAGTTCTTTTCATCTGCACACACTCATTTGCAACACTTTTTTATTTATTTATCTTATTTGCATTTAAAGATTTAAAAAAATGTTAAATTGCTAACATTGTTTTTATATGAAACATATTTTTAGACTGGATTCACACCTGAGCGACACCTATTCAGCACGTTTTACACGCCTCTTTCTTTGCGCGTTTTTACGCTTGTATGTCAAGTTGCACGTTTTTGTGAGCAGATTTTGGCACATTCAGGTACATGAGCAAAACACGCGTAAATAATCGCATCACTTGTTTTTCAAGTGTTTCCTATTGAGTCTGTGGGACAAAATGTGCTGAATCAGCTCCAAAGTAGCGCATGTAGTATTTAATGCGTATTTCTGCTTGCGACAAAACGCTGACACGTGCACTGGGGTCATAGACATGATTGGAATTCCTAGTGTTGAGCTGTTTGTCGCACTGATTTACGCAGGACAAACAGCTTAGGTGTGAAGGGTACTTAAGTGTGCAGCATGTCACATACAACGGAAGCATTGAGGTGAATGGGACCATGCCGCAACTGGCTGTAATGTAAAATCCCTCTTGGGAGCAAAATAAAATACCGCCATCTAAAGATCGATTCACCACACATGAATTTTAAGAGAGGCGGTAAAGTTAGCAGCTCGTTTGAATAAGGCCTAAGAGCTGATTTAACATGTATGCACTTCTCTCCTACAAGTGCCCCTTTACGGACTGACTACACGTGCACTTTAACGTTCTGTGAGTTTGGACATGACAGAGTGACCTTATATTGACTGGGCCTTTAAAGCTTGTTAAAATATTTTTCATTTTACATATCGAGATGTTGGTAATTTTGTGATGTTTTAGGCACTACAGACCACCCTTAACTCTGTATTATGATTTCTTGATTACAGGTTTAAAGGAAAGGTCCAGTGGTATACAGTAAATTTGGACCAGCCCCCATATGAGAGATGGCAGAAGCTGATCAGTGATAAGAAGGCCCCGGTGAGTGTGTAAAGTTTCTGGTTCACTCAATGTTCCAAGATACATCTACACAAAGCTGAGCATCTTATTTAAAGTAGAACTCTGGGCAACTTACAAATTAAAGTGACACTAAACTCAGGAGTTACATCTTAAAAATGTATTCAAGTACCTTTCATTATTAACATATAAGTATCTTATTTGTGCATCACTCGGCTGTAGATCCTCAAATCATCTCTGAATTTGTGGTGACACTGTCCTTCCTTCTGGAGGGTGGCTACTTTTGTTCCCCATGGTCACTGTGTGTGTTGTAAAGTAGTCACTGCCCTAAGCTCAGTCCTGGGATGGACTACAATCTCAATACAAATGAGTAAACCAAACGTGAGATTGTAGTTAATCACTTGAGTAATCTTTGAGAGGAGCTACTTTACAACACATGGGCAACAAAAGTAGCCGAGTGATGCACAAATAAACAACATTTTTGTTAAAAGTTAAGGTACTTGAATGCATTTTTTAAATGTTACTCCTGAGTTTAGTGTCACTTTAACTCTTGCAGTGGATCTATCCCCGCATTGCAATGGTTAAGTGCTCTTTTTGATGTAAGGTCTAAAATAATAAACGGATACACTGACCCAATATTCATTCACACACTCGCCTCCCTCCCCCTCTTCGGCTATAGTTTGTCCTTTGGCATCCTCACATCCATTGTATTTTCTTTTCCAATATTGTTATTATTTTATATAGGGATGCACCGATATATCGGCCGCCGAAACATATTGGCCGAAAATGGCACTTTTGGCTAAATGGCACTTTTGGCTAAAGAGAAAGTGTGACAGGCGGCCAAGCACTGTGGTAGGAGAGCGGTGTGAGCGGCCGGCGTCTCTCCTCCCACACCGAGGATTCCTGTTCATTGATAACGGGATACAGAAAAAAAGATTGAGGACTTTGTGTCCTCAATCTCTTTTTCTATTTTAAAAGGGAAATATCAGGGGTCTGTTTAAACCCCTAATATTTCCCCGAAGCCCCTAAAATTAAACTAAAAATACAAATATTTAATAAAAAATTAATTCATAAAAATAAATATAAAAAAATGTAAAGGTTTTTATAAAATATAAAAATAAAATATTAAATAAATGTGAAAAAATTCAAATAAAAAACATTTTTGGTTTCGGCCTGACAATTTCTTTTATTTCGGTTTTAATTTCGGTTTTGAAGTTTCCATTTCGGTGCACCTCTAATTTAATATTATAACAAGAATAGTAGAGTGTCTTGGGCAAAATTCATTTTCAAGGTAACTTCAATCATGTTACAAGTGTTTATTCAATACAACAGACAACATTTGTAGTTTTATATGGTTATAGTCCCCTTGCAGAACTGTATACATTTAATCATCTAATTCTTTGTAGTCATTAAAATAGTAAAATGATGATTATTTTTGTAGATAAAGATAGTCCTGAAGTGTAAATTTGTCGTCTTTTTTTCTTCGGTATTTGTGACCAACCATGTAGCATATTTATGAAGAGAAGCAAGTTTAAGAGAAAGAGTTGAGAGAGGGGACCAAAAAAGAAAATCTCCCTTGACCTTTCACCATGACCATAAGTATAATTTGTGTTGTATGGGGGATGGAGGGAGATGGATTGCTGCATTGTGTGAACCAAGCACCTAGTAGTCCAGCCGAGCTCCAGACGTTACTTGGACCTAAACGTGATACTGTATAAGGTCCTAATGGGACCAAATGGGACCAGACGGATGATGTTATTGTAGAACAAAGAAATGAAGTTTGTCCCCAGCACACTACCATTCTTTATTCAGTAGTGGTCTGATGAAGGGAATCCAGCAAGGCCCCACAAAGCTGTTGCATATTTTTATATAGTGTCTTCAAATCAAAGTAAAGCACAACCCAACCTTTATGTAGTACTGTGAAGCAGGAAGCAGAGCCTGAGTATGTAATGAGCAAATATGTCTGCCCCCATCATATATAAATACAGACTATACATAGAAACTCAGTTCTTACAGGATCAACACATTGAATATTGGCATGAGGCTGACCTCTTATATTTTACAATATCAAAAAAATGGACATTGCTTTTAAAAAGCATTTACTTTAAAAATGAAACCTTCAATTTGCTACTGATCAATTCATGAAGGATCACAGAGCTCTGACCCACAGCCCCCAGGTTTTACTGTAAGTGGCAATTTTCAGATTTAGGCTTTATGGATTGTTTGATCACAACTGTATCTAAGGTGGACACTCTGCCAACCACTATAAGCAAAGGGACCAGAGCGTTGTTGAATGGGACCCCTTAATGTTACAAAAGTATCAAACAGATCTAGAACTTCTATTTAATCTAGAAATTAAATTAATGCTGCAATACGGTTTCTTTAACGACATAATTTTCCTCTTGCAGTATGTGGAGACAAGCTTCTTCCCTTAGTTGTACAGGACAATGGTATTGTGCAGAATTCTGTATTCCAAGCCAGCATCCAGCACTTACATGAGGCAACTGAGGTATTTTGTGCTGTATCCTAGGTGGAGGGGTATAGAGCAGCAGCCACTCTATAACTACTTTATCATGAACCTGATAAAAAATGAGAATGGATTTCTGCTCATTTCTAAATTTACACATTTGATTTAGTAATACTTACTGTTGTTATATATGAAATGATACCTTGGTGAAAATATCATTGTTTCTCCCTTCACCTACAGCTAAATGAACTAATTCAGCATATCAAGAACCTGGCAAAAGCAATTTTTCCAAACCTTATCGACATAGTGGATAATAAATTGGTGAGTGTCAGTGGCTTAAATTGTTCATCTCAAAGTAATATGATTTCCCTAATAACCTATATTTACAGTGACATTGTTATGCTGAGAAATTGTTAGCAGGGATACTGCCATAGTAAAAGCATGTAGGACTGGTTTAGTAATTTATGTTTAGTTCTATGTAAAATACATTTGATGATTTGTTTATTTAAAACACACATAGCTGGATTAAATGTAGGGTACTTTCTGGTAATAAGGTTATAGCTCTCTGGCTCTGAGCCCCAAATTCTGATTTGTGCAGGAGAGACATGGGATGGGTGGCACTGAGGCTTCACTGTATGTAGTAGGCAGGCTAAACATGTCACCCAGGATTTACAGCAGGAACCTGAGTCCTGGGTGACAACACCGCTCCTGCATTGAGATACACTCTGAGCGGTGCCACCCTAAGACAAGACGTTGCAAAGACAGCTCATACTAGTAATAGTAATGAAAAAGCAAAGCTACAAAGAAATGGGAGTAAATCTCTGCACCTAATCAAGAGTAAATTACCATTTAGAGTGTTGGGAAGTGGGCAATACATCCACTTTATGTCTCCTGATGTGCTACTAGAGAGTGATACAAACTCACATGTACGGATAATGGAGCAGTGGTTCTCAAACTGTGTAACCTCAGGACCCATATTGGTCCTCGGTCATTAAGTCGCGACCCAAGTCGCACTGCAATCGAACGCATGGCATTGGGGTACAGAGCTTTCCGGTGCAGGCGTACAAACTGTGGGTGGGAGGTGCGTTTGTGATGCTAGTCAAATAAATGCATGTTAGGTGCGATTGCTTAGTACAGTTTAACGCACTGTACTAGTGTGAACGGGCCCTCAAAAACACTGACAGACACACACTCACAGACATTCTCATACACGCTCCAAACATTTTAACATTTTTTTTTTTTACATTATTTTTAAGAACCACCCAGTCTCCCTCTGAAGTGGATCCTCAGCCTGGGGTCCAGTGTGGGCTGCACTGCTGTGATGGAGCTCCATCCATATGTGCATTGCTTGTACAACCCCCTTGCGCGCCCTGTAGAAGTGCTGGTAGGCAGAATGTGACGTCACCCTGGTCCAGGCACCTCTACAGGACACGTGAGGGGGGTGTAAGCAATGCATGTATGGATGGAGCTCCCTTGCAGCCATAGCTCACCCCACCTCAAGCTGACACTTGGTGCCGAGCAGCATATTTTGAATGGCTGCTTGGCACGAGAATTGACCGTGCTGCGCTAGGGGGAGGCAGAAGAGCCTCTCGCCTAGAAAATTGGAAGACATGCGGCGACCCACTGCACATAGGGTCGCGACCCACTTTTGGGTCACGACCCACCAGTTGAGAACCAAGGTAATGGAGTATATTTACTTCTCAGTTTTAGCATCAGTCCAACATCTCAGCAAGGTCATAGATGCTGCCTCTGATGTTCCTGCTGATGTCAGAATTCAGTGGCTGGTGGCATCATCTATGATACATTAGTGAGTCTTATCAGAACATAATACTAGATGTTCCGTAATAGGAAGAAAGCCGCCATCATTCTGAACATCTCTGCTAATATCAAAAAGTCCAGGCACTAACAATTTACTATAATTTAAACAGATTACTACAAACGTGTGCACTACACCTCTCCACTGCTGCATGGTTTACAACATCCTGCACTACAACCCTACAGTGTGTGTGTATGGTAGGATGTTGCAGCGTGAGCTCTTTTGGGAATAGGAACTTATGTGAAGGATTATGAACATGAATAACATGTTCTTTGTAGGGCTGCAACTAACGATTATTTTCAGAATTAATTAGTCTGCCGATTAATTTTTTTCAAATAATGTAATAAAATAAAATGCACAAATGGAGTGTTGCAAACAAAGTTTACTTCAGAATAAAACCGCATGCGCAATTTTTTTGCAGTCGGTACTGCGTGTTCCAGTATGGGTGATCACACTGTGGGCGAGAGACATGTTAGACATTTTAATTAGTTTTATTGATTTAAAATAATCTGAATTAAAAACACCAACCAATATAATAAAATAACCAAACTATTATTTAAAATAACACACCAAAATTGGATAAAAAATGCAATTATATATATTATAAAAGCCCGGTCATCAGTTTAGAGTTATCCATAAATATTGGCCCGATAATTATTGCTCTCACTCTGGCGCATGCTGCATTACCTGACGTGTAGCGCAGTTGTCTTTTTTTTTTTTTTTACTTCTTTGTTTTCACATGGGGGTGGGGGGGGGGGGGAGTGGAGGCTCACAAGTCCCCTTTGTGATAGGACACTGGAGAGGACAGGTTCTCTTTAAGGTGACATTATGGGTCTATTAGCGCCCTAGTGTCACCTTTCCACTTCAATAGCTTTAGCTGAGAAATGTAAATACATGAGGCAGTGGCAGGGAGCAATAGCTAGCCTGCTGTTGGTTACGTCAAATGGCAATAGCCAATAGCGGGCTGGCTCTTGCACCCACCCACTGTCTGCTGTCAATCAGCAGAAGAGGGAACCTAAAGGAGAAAGTTCTACTTCCTCACTGCTGGGCACTGGCTGCAGGGGTCTGTGTCCCAGCTGTGTTCCCAGCGGGGAGGAAAGGAGTAAAATCAACTAATCAATAATGAGAATCATTGACAACGATTCTCATTATCGATTATCATTGATTACTTGTTGCAGCCCTAGTTCTTTGCTTCACTTTTCAAGTTGTCTGTATTGCCCACAGCAGCCATTGATGGCTTTAGTGGAAAATGACAGAATTAAACATCTGAATGAATCTACGTGGCTGCCTAGCAATGCAAACAATTCTTATGATGCGTACTATGATAAATGCTCATAATTCAGAGCAGAACACCACAAAGGTATTTTGTTATCAACACAATCACATTTATACAGTATACATGCTGTATTTTTCTTAATAAAAGTGGAAATGCCCTTCAAATAAATCTGTGTGAGCTGTAGAAGGGAATTCCTCATGTTTGAACAACTATAATGTTTGTGTTACAGCCTTTCCTTATTGGAAAACTCCCGTCCCCGTTTGGTGAAGAAATGAAAGGTGTTGCAGATGCAGCTGGCCTGCCACTAGGTATAGTTTTCCCATGCAGGAGTTTTCATCTCCATCTTTTATCACTAGTCCTAGATTATCACCACTCAAAAAAAAAAAAAAAAAAATAGCAGAGGAATCCTCCCAGACTTCCACAGCTGCAAGCAGCCTATTATACCTGTACTGTTTCTGACTAGGAAGATATTGGGGTACAGCCATTAGGCTATTACATTAAACAAGCAGCAGTAACTGTCAGTCACCAGGCAGGAATACCCTTCAGCATATTATACTGCTGACTGATTCAGGTTGATTTACTAAACAAGTTGAGAATCTTCATACAATAATTTGTTTCACTATTCACTTCAGTTATCCAATCATGTGAAAAGCTTTACTTATTTCATCTGCACGATTGGATAATCCTTGCGAATATTTCGTTAATTTATGTGAAGCTTCTCCTCTCCTTTAGGTAAAGCGGTCTCACTTTTCTTAGTTACTGTGGGTTGTTTCTAGGGATGTGCAAGTCCGATCACGGCCGCTTGTGAAGTTTCTCAGCTAATGTAGAGATCCCAAAACGGGGTGATCTGCGGCTGTCTGCTGCCAACGTGAGACTACAGCTTTTTTTCTGTAGCCCTTGACGGGTTATAAACTGTGTTTGAAGAGAAAATGATGGGATTGCTGGCACCTTTCATGTTACA